AATACACTGTACTTACCATAAGTTTTTCCCAGTTGCACCGGAGCTGGTCAAATAACAATATAGCAAAACGAGGAATGAAAAATTGAAAATTTTCATGATGTTTACGTTGACTTAAACTAACAGCTTTTTCAATCGAATGCTACGTATAACGACCTCCTGCAACAGTAGACTACAGAGAAAACTGCGCCGCTCTTAAGGAAAACCACTGGTTTATATAACGCACTTTTGGCGCAGAAGAAACCACACCTCCTTGACTTATCCTTTTTCTCTAAAACGTGATTGGCCAAGATCGGATAGAAACGGAAGGGTTGATTGGTTAACTTTCGACCTCAAATTACATGAGGATATAGAAGGTAGCTAGTATTATTTGTATTTACAGTTGACTACAGGTAGCATGTGTTTCTGTATCCAGCTCTCACTTGCTAAATTCATATACTGTAATTAACATGTTTCAATACTATAAAAGCACCCTTTATTTATTGATTTATTTATTTATTTATTTATTTTGTAAAACGTGTTTAAAGCACCCAGGATACCACGTGGTTTCGCATTTTAGTACAGTCGTGAAAAGAAAGATAAAATGAAAAATGAAAGATGAAATGAAAAATAAAGGGACAAGCGGGGATAATGGTGCTAAAACTAATTAAAACGAGTTTTGATCACGCCACTTTTTACAATCTATAAATTATAGGGGTATTGAAGGTATAGAAAAACACTGAGAAACGAAGTGCTTGTTATAGGTAACCATATACCCCAGTACAACATGTGCATGTTTTTAATGGCGTATGCGGCCACCTTGAAATTTTTCAGAATTCTCAAAGTAGGATTTCTTACTACTTTTAGTGTGCCATTTTTGTTGGAAACCATTGTGGTAAAATTACAACTCATGCAATTTGTATCCAGATTGGCGCAAAAACGGCTTAGATTACCTGAACTAAGTTAAAAGGAATTCCAAAAGAATCTTTTGATTTAAAATTATTGTTGACCTGAGTATATTCGTGTCACTGTCTACATTTTCAGCGAGGATAGTGCAAAAATCAACTGAAATCACGAGACACATATATATACTATACTTGTAAGAAGAGACGTGTTTTAATATAATGAATTATCATTTTTGTAAACAAGGATGAAAAGAAACTTCGCGTCTGTCCATCTTGATAAGCACAGTGTCTGGTTCCTACAGCACGTTGCACAGACACGTGCCTTTTCAAATACACGTCTTCAGGATGCGTGTCTTTTGACTTAGAATAAATGAGTAGATAAATGAATAAATAAAGAAACAACGAAAAAACCAAGAACACTGTATATCATATCTCTGTATGTCTACTAATCCGTATAATAGAAAGGCGTGGAGAGAGACCGTGATATCTGATCTCAAGTTTGGACGAAGAATACAGAACTCACAAAATACAATTTAGAACAGAACAATGATTTTCTGTACAACTCCGAGAAAGGGTCAGTCCCGAGAAGGGGTTTGTGAAAGGAGACGACACTTAAGTCTGATCGTAAAAGCGACAGAGTTGATGCATCACAGAAGGTGGGATAGAAGGCCCGGTCTGTTGAACCCATGACGGAAAAGACACGTAGTGTCCAGGTAGATTAATCACATAAGATGACTTTGATTTAATTCTGCTTTAATTCTATTATTATTATAACTGTCAAACTGGATAAATACACTATGACCTTGGTGAGATTAAGGAAAACAAAACAGTGCGTTGTCTGAAATATCCCCAAATGTTTTTCAGTGGTAAGGTTGGTCCTAGGGGATTGGCCCGGAACCCGGTACCAAGTGACAGTTTGCCTGATATCATTTTAACCGTCTGTTACTGCAAACATCGGTTCAAAAAGATATTTGGATATATTCCTCGTGTGGTAAAATAACGGTAACTGCGAAATAAGATATATCGTGGCTGATGAAATTTGCAAGAAATGAGATAAACGGCTCATGTTTTGTTGTTTATTCAGCATACTCTGCAGTCGCGTTAGTGCACAAAACTGGTCATATAACTCTACGGGATGCAAACTTGAGAGGTCTCTCTCTAAATCTCTCTCTAAATCTCACTGAAAACTGTAACTTCTGATTAAGAAAGCAAAATGAATTGGATTCTTGATTTATTTTATATCCTCAGGCTTTTTGGCTCTTTCAAAGCAAGTACGATGTCAGCTGAAATCATGGTTCAGACCACCAACTCTTGTAGAGCATGTCTGGCCACCAATGTTCTTAAGAATGGTGATGCCACAGTGGTGTAACATGAACAGTATGTGAATTTAAGTATATGTGGAGTGTGTGTGTGTGTGTGTGTGTGTGTGTGTGTGTGTGTGTGTGTGTTGGGGTAGGGTAGGGGTCAGGAGCGGGTGGTTTGAAGGGGGGGTACGGAAACGACAGACCTCGGATGCAAAGCCGACCATCGCCCCTTTGGTGTGGGGTTCGGGGCCTGCGAAAATTTTTGGTGTTTTGGAGAGAAAACAGTGCCCCTTGGTACGGTTTAGAACTAAAATTAAGCTAGTGAAAATTCTAATTTAAAGAGGGTAATATTGGTGTGATATATTTTTCAGAAGCCGAGGGTGGGGGTCAGGACCCCCTGACCCCCCCCCCCCCTTAATCCGCCACTTGGGTTGCAGTGCAAACACATTTGTAGGAGCTGTGTTCTACCATATTTACTTTCTTTTCAAAATGATAGCTAGAACCAATATGTGCCAGGATTTGTAATTCACTTCCAACGAAATTTTGTTTTTGGTGTATGACCATGTCCATTTATTTTTATACTTTAAAAGACTTGTGAACAACAAAGTGTGTAAATAAACAAATTGTTTGGGAAAATGTTATAAAAAGATAGACATTAAATGCAGAAACTCGGCCCACGAATATTGTCTACAAGGTAAACTAATGTCCAGAAAATAATTTCATCTTTGTTTTGCAGTAGGAATAAACTGTATACGTAAAGGGTAAAGCAGTAATGCTTTTCAATTTCAGGTGGTTTACTTCCAATATTTCGATGACTATCGGGGGAAGAGGATATCTAGATACCTTTTCCCTTAACCTGAAGTAAGATGTAAGAAGGGTGTAAATTTGATTGCGGTTTCTTACCACAAAACCCGCTTGGTGCCGCATGTGAGCCTAGAGTAAATTATTATTTTAAGCAAATGTATCTCTTATCTGTCATAGACACGTTGCATCCCCTTTGTATTACGAAATGAAAAACATTGTTCAAACATTGCATTTCTGTGCGATGAGAACGTGGAAAAATACACGTAATCGCTGACTCGGTTTAATCCAAGCGAGTACATAACAAGCTTCATTTTAACATTAACAGGGACATTAAGAAATGAATCATAAATAAGTCTTTTTTTTCATTATCAGAGTGGCCAACTATATGAACAGTGTATTTTGATGCCTTAAACAATTTTAAACGTAAACGACAGGCATAGGTTCAGCTCTTACAATGTATTTGAATATTTAAAAAGTTACCTAAACAAAATAAGATGCAATTCATTTGGATACAATTCTAAAGTGTAAAGAAAACAGTAGTGGATGACACTTTTGCAAAATACACGTAGACACAATCGCTATTAGACTCGTGACTTAAAAAGAGCACATTCTGATGCTAAAATATATGAGTGCTGTAACATTAGGCGGTATCTTTTTAATTCTATGCATATATTTTCCTCTATGGAAATCACCGTAAAATATCAGAATTAAGGAGTTGCATATATTGAAAGTGAATAAGTAAACAACGAAATTGATACCTAATTCGATATGTAGATTTTCAGTACCGTAAGTTATGTTTGTTATGATAATAGGATTAAAATGCTACTTAAAACAGTTTAGGGGGATTTAGGGGGGGCTTCGAATCCGCCGACCCCCCCCCCCCTCTTCAAATAATCCTGGATCCGCCCCTGTTAAATCAGTTTTAAATCAGTGATGATTCATAAACAAAAACAAGTGAAATTAATGGTGTGACAACCTTTTTGATCCAAAGTACATTTGTGAGTACGACTGTAGTTGAACTCGGATACTGCAGAGAGGACAGACAAGGCACATGCACTATAATTACCCTATGTATCAAGCAATATAAAGAAAGGAGACAGAAAGCAAGTATGTCTGTGGAGTAGCAAATGTCTATAGAGCAGACGAAATGGACGTCTTTGTGGTATTAAATTAATTTTCAATTTTTTTAGCTGCCTAAAATGAAAACAGAAATAATTACTACAGTAAAAATAGCCGCCCTCTCATTTCGTATCTACATTGTACAAAATGGACGCCAACTGAATGTCCTGCTGTTATATTCCGACGTGTGAGATTAAATGACACCTGAATCTTATCTATCACATTCAAGAATCTTTTTTCCCCAGCTTACCGACTTTTATACATGTATACCTGGGGGATTAAACTTTCAAATCCTTCACAGAGATAAAACATTGTTTTAAGGTACAGTGTGTACGAGCTAGTTATTACTTTCTCCGAAATCCCATTACCCGACCAGCATATTAATGTAGCTTCATTCGAACATGCCCATATTATGGACTTTGATGCCTTCCTGCAACAGCAATCTTATTTTCTTTTGATACGTTTTATACTTTTATAGTCCCCTCCCCATCTAATAAATAAAAAATAAATAAAAACTCCAAAACCCCTCTCCAGACTTAGATTGCATCGGATAAATCTATGCCCAAGGTGGATGAAGATAATTCAGACGATTTTTAAATTGCGTTTGTTTATGTACAAACAATTCTTAAATGACATCTGTCATTTTCAAAATGTGTATTTTTAGCCAAAGGCCCATCTACCAATCACCCTCAAAGAACAACACGTCCCCAATTACATACACACACACACACACACACACACACACACACAGACACATATACATGTACACACGCACTAACGCACGTTCCGACAGGTATCGTGTGAGAAAGAGAGATTCTGACAAACAACACCATAGTTTTAACTTCATTATTTCATGGCTTTCTTGTCCGAAGCCGAAATCTTGTTACACTGATTAGACAATTGGAAAAGTTGCAAGATATCCGTAATATTTATCAGCATAATACAGAAGGCCGTCATGGGGGTTGTAATCTAACATGGAATTGATTTTCCCAGGTTGCGTAAAAGGGATCTTAGATGAAGAAAGCGCCTCTTGTTTCCCAGTGTTGGTATCATAGGTATAGCGGATGTAATTTGAAGTAGCATAGTAAGAATGTGTGGCGTAAAGCACGCCACATTTCATGAACATGTTGCCAACGCTCTTGATATTAATGGTCGTCTCCCACGATTTCTCCACGTCGAGAGTGTCCGGGTTGATCTTGGCGATGACCAGGTAACAGTTGTTACGTTTGTTCCCGTACACTAGCCACAGTCCGTACTCGTCCACAGCAAAGTCAGTGGTGGTGAAACCGCCCCAGGCATAGCGGCAAGTGTTTCCCGCATCCACATCGTTCGCCTGTTTCACTATGGTCTTCATTTTCAGGGGATCATACTTAATGATATTCTGCGTATGTATTCGACGAAAGTATACATTGCCCCGATAAACGACATGACCCGTACCAGCAAAGGAATAGGGAAGTGTAAATGACGCAGATTGAGTACCTTGCTTCATAGCTGTGAAAGTGTCGAACACTACCACTTTGTCATTGTTAAACCCACGAAAAAAATAAACTTTACTTGCTTCGTTAGGAGTTAATGGTTGAGAATCCTTCATCCAAGCGGAGTAAGAAGATCTGGCCGTGGTATATTGGAATAAGGTTGAATATTTTTCTATGCGTATTTTGCTTTCCGAAGAACAGTTCGCTGTAACAAAGAATAAACGAACCCCTTAGTACAGCAATTAACCACAATTTGATTTTGAAAGATCGTCTGTCATCTTGTAATTTGAATACAATTATTAAAAAAATATATTTAAATAATATTAAAATAAAAAAGTTTACATTTCCAATGCGATCAAATTTACAAAACCAAGAAACAAATATAGGGTTTAATGTGGCATGTACAATGTATGTTTTGTCGTATATCAATTGCACGCCCAAGTTTTCGAAAAGGACTTACCTCGTCTGCAGTCCAAAAGAGCTTGTTTCATGAATTTCAGGGAGTATTTTGCCAGTTGCAGCTCCAGGTTGATGTTGTCTTCTACAGCGACAAGCCCTCTTTTGCCAACATATTTATTAATCTTTTCATAATGCTCTCTCTTGGCGAAGAAGTACGGACAGTCTTCAGCAATCTGATTCGTGACATATTCAAGGCGGTGGTTGATGTGAAACAATTCGATCATCTTCTTGAACAATGCCTGACCCCCGCTGTAAGCATTTGCTACAGCGACCGCAAATGCCACAACCAACGAAACGAGGACTGAAAAAGGTAAACTTTTCATGGTATTGCCGTTGACTTAAATTTTACAGCAGCTTCAGCTTAAGAGAGCGTATGACGTCCTACGGAACGAGCAGTCTTTGACGAACAGTGCTAACTGCGCCTCTCATCTAAAAAGCGTTGGTTTATATACCTTACGTTTTGCGCAGAAGAAATTAATTAAACGAAATCGACCAATCCATTTTTTCTAGAGTCGTGATTCGCTACGATCAGAAAGAGATAGAGGGGTTGGGAGGGTACGTTCGCCCACAAATTATGTGAGGATATAAATGGTATTTATTGGTTTGCAATAAGCAGACAATAAAGAGAAAAGTCCTAGCTTCATTACAAATATGCAAATTTGAAGTCGTTAGAGTAATAGCAATAGTTTGCATGTAAGTTAGACTAGATTGTATTGCTGCATCCAATATCCAGTTGTCAATTTTATATAATCAACATGAAACCCTGTTCAATAATGTTAGAGCATCTTTATTTTGAAAGAAAACTGTTAAAGCTGGTCTTCAATTTGAATACTTGAATAAATATGTATTTAGGAGCACATCGCAAATCTTGGATAAGACAAACTAGATCCGAAACTTTTATTGAATGATTTATTAAAAAACTGACGTAAAACAAAACAATATAAATTTGAAAAGGGTCAGCAGAAAAGGGTCGAGCTAGCGCTTACTTAAGCATTTATTCTCGACCTTCAATATGAAAGTGCAATATGGGATTAATGGTGCTCAAATTCATTAAAAATAATTTTGATCACACATTCGAACACATTTAATTTATGATCTTTTGATACTGGCTAAACGATTTTCATTACAATATTTCGACATTATAAGTGTCCGAACATTTACCGGTACGTAAGATGCATGATTTTGTGAAAGCTAATTTATGACAAATTTCGTATTTTAACACAAAAATAGTCTTGGTTCTTTTCATTACGGCCATACCTCAGGAGAAACTTCTAGAAGAACCGACCTCTTAGTTTAGCTGAGAATGTGCTAGTCACTGTCTATATTTTTAGCAAAGATAAACTGAAATCATGAGAAACGGTTATAATCTTTGGTTATGCTCCAACTATTTGAATTATTTACGTAAACAAGGATGAAAAGAAACTTTGCATCTGTCCATCTTGATAAGCATAGTGTCTGGTTCCTACAGTACGTTGCATAGACACGTGCCTTTTCAAAATTACAAGGACACACGTCTTTCGATTTGAGAGTACTGAATAGATAAATGAAAAAAAATAAATACACATAAAATTAATTAACATATGGATTAATAATATACATCAACACGTTAATTATCATTTTCACAAAGCACGCATACATACATACGCGCTCGTTCGCACACATACACATGGAGAGAGAGAGAGAGAGAGAGGGGGGGAATGAGGGGGTGATTTGCTAAAAAATGCATGTTGCGGTTTGTTTCTCATAAGCAAATTAATTTCCGAAGTAAGGTGGATATTTTTTATCATGTGCCCTACAAAGTTAAAAGACAATACAACCAGGGTTTAGTGGTGCTAAAATTCATTAAAACGGATTTTGATCATGCATTCGGAAATTGTTATGATCTTTTGATACAGTCTAAAGGATTACTATTACAATAATATAAGTGTCCGAACGCGAATTTGCATTTCAGTTTTATATCATATACGTAAGGTGCATAATTTCTGGAAAAACTGGCTATTTCACACAAAAATAGCCTTCGTTCTTTTAGGTTCGCCCATATCATATCATCTTTGCTTGTTGGAAAAGATGTGCTCAAACTAACTGTATTTTTATTTAAACAAGATTGAAAAGAAACGTCGTAGGCCTATCTCTCCATCTTGATAAGGACCGCATCGGGTTGCTTTACAGCACGTTGCGTTAACATGTGTGTCCTCAGAAGGCACGTCTTTCGAAGTAAGAATGAATAGAATAAATGAATAGTTAATAAATAAATAAATAAATAAATAAATAAATAAATGAATAAATAAATATATATTTAACATTGAAATTATTTTAAAAGGCAAAACGTTGATCATCAGTGTTCACTGTAATATAATTGAATGGCAACAAAGCACATATTCACAAACTACCACACATACACACACACAGAGATAGAGGGAGAGAGAGAGAGAGAAAGAGAGAGAGAGAGAGCAAAACCCACCCTGAGCTTCAGAGATAACTTGACACTAACCTCTTCACAATAGCCTATCTTCATCGTGTCAAGTTACCTCTGACGAAAATAGTTTGACCTAGTTTATATAAGCCAATCGAATCCAAGTTTCAAAATTTTTCACCAAAGTTTGGTGAAAACGCTGATTGGTTGACCGTCGATCGGTAATCCTCGGCTGATTCCGCAAGCTCCATACTAACAACAAAGTTATTGTCGAGTGCGGAGACATCCGAGTACATGTAGTTCCGAGTGCATAACCGTACACAAAGAAAGCATGGCGTCTCCTACGAGTGACTACGTAAAATAATGTGTTAAGTTATCTCTTGATTCTTTGCAAAATATGAGTATATCGGAATTGAAACCAGAGCAGTTTGAGGCCCTGCATCATTATCTACTGAGGGATGATGTATTTTGCGTGCTGCCCACAGGTTACGGCAAGTCCCTGATATTCAGCCTTACCTTTGATTGGTCCGGATTTGAACAAAGCGCGCTTTGACTCGTTCGCGTTCATTGGCTAGATCGTTCAATGAGTCATTGAGTGCGGGCTTTAAATTTGATTGGCGGGCAGCGGGGGCAATCGAATGTGGTCAGAGGTAACTTGACACGATGAAGATAGGCTATAGTGAAGAGGTTAGTGTCAAGTTATCTCTGAAGCTCAGGGTGGCAAAACCCTGCATCTGCAAAAATTAAGATATTTAAGATCAAAATCACAGGCTGTGATTCTGTTCAAACACTTGTTAATTGGAATTCGATACACTACAAAACAATGCCCTTTATCGCCCAATACTACTAAGCCCAAGCCTCAGCTGATCTTCAAAGAACAACCGATCAATCATATAAATATCGATTCCCTCGATTTCGATTCCCCGGTGCAAACAAAGGAGATTTAAGATTGCATAATCAATATAGTGCTTTGATGAGTGGACGTCGCCTGATTAGACCCTACAGCCACCTGTGTAGATCTATATTACCAAGCTGGGGGGAAAGTTGGACTACGTCTGTTTGCCCGTATAATAGCAAGCTATGGAGACAGCGTGATATTCCACATTATTCAACTTTGGATGAAGTAGGTCTATATCAAATTCCAAAAATAAGTGAAAATTACCGTGCCATCTGATAAGTAAAATACGGGGTAAATCGCAGGCAAATCGTCGCTCAGATGGCCAGTTCGGAGCTGCGAAAACGAGGATTCCGCGTGGAGCCCTTCAATAAAGACTGTCCGCAGTTGTCCATTCCGTTGATTTTACCCAATGATTTCCTGTACAACCCCGAGAAAGGATCAGTCCTGGACGTGGTGGGGGAGAGAAGACGACAGTTAAATCTGATCGAAAAAGCGGCCGAGTTGATAGGTGGTATAGAGGGCCCGGTCTGTGTGATGGCTGTCTGTGGGGAACCCATGACAGGAAAGGCGTATGTAGTGTCCAGGTAAGTAAATCACAAAAACCTGAATTTTTGTTTTATTCTGTTGAAATCCTGCAATTTATTTATTTAATTTTTTGTCACACTCTTCACAACATGGTCATAGTAAGTGAAGCAGTGCGTTTTCTGGAATTTCCTCAAATATATTAAATGATAAGGTTGATCCTAGTGGAATTCTGAAAAACGAAAAAAAGGAGGATTGTTTGTGGACAGGCGGTGGAAACTGGCAACACAAAGCTGAATGCTGAATTTGAAGCAATAGGGGCGAAGAGAAGGGAGGAAACTCGAGCAGTCCCTTCAGCAACATATACATGTACATGTGAGAAATGGTGTCGCGTTTGCCTCTCTGGAATTGGCCTGGTCAGCCACCAGAAAAAGTGTTCGAAAGTGCGCTACATCATGAACAGTCTGTCTAGTAGAGAACCCGCCAGTTTGCCTCCTGTCTCTTCAATCACTTGATACGGACTGACTGTGCCGTTTGTTACTTCTCACATCCCCGACATCAGTCGGTAGAAAAATTTGCCTTGTGGTAAAATTACACTACAGTGTAAAATGATATAGGCCTATCGTGGGTGATGAATTTTGCAAGGAATATGATAAGCGCGTCATATTTTCATGTTTATGAAAAGTCGCGTTTGAGCACGGCGTTGAGCTGTTCATACTGTATGACAATTTATTTACAAATGATGCAACTTTCAGACTCTCTCTCTCTCTCTCTCTCTCTCTCTCTCTCTCTCTCTCTCTCTCTCACACACACACACATACACACACACGCACACACACACACACGCGAAAAACTTTTTTTTTTAATCTTAATTAAAAATAGCAAAATGTCTTGAATCTGAATGTAATTTATATTCACAGACTTCTTGGTTCTTCCAAAGCGTTCACGGTGTCAGCCGAGTTCATGGTTCAGACAACCAAACCTTGTGGAGCATGGCTGGCCACCAGCGTTCTTAAGAGTGATGACGTCACAGTGGTTTTACTGCACGTGAATTTAGGTAATGTCTTGCGTATGTGTGTGTGTGGTGTGGGGAGGGGTGCAGTGTATCTTGTATCGTTTAATATTTGATTAATTTTTTGTTTGTTTATTTGTTCACCTCTTGTGTGTGTTTGTGCGCGTGCGTGTTTTTGATGCAATTAACCTATAGAAATATTCAGTCAGTAAGCTAGCGCAGTAGATACTCCAGCGTAGACTACTGTAATCATACTGCAAACATGCCTCAAATCTGCTTCGATTTGGGAGCTAATTAGCATATTTGAAACATGCTTCTATCGTGCTGCTATTCTACTGTATTAATGCTCCTCTCTGTACAAACCTATGTACTTTTTGGAGTAGAATTGCAGTAGGCTATACTGCATTTCTACTGCAAATATGCACCACACCACTACTTCGTTAATGCTTCTTTGCTACTTCAATACTGCTGCATTTTCGTGCGGGAGGATTCGTAAGAGAGAAATCATTTTGTGGAGTTTCGAATTTCGTTGACCATTTTATTTACTTATATTTTATTTTACCGCGCAACTGCATTCTGTCTTTTAAGACCATAGTTAATTTTTCCAAAAGATAGCTAAAAGCCATAAGATGATTGCCAGAATTTCTTTTCCACGTTTGACTATTTTTTCGGGAGGAGGGGGGGTCATTTATTTCGTAACTTTAAGAGACATTTAAACAAGCCAATTGTTTGGAGAACCGGAAAATCAAGGCATATAATAAATGCAGAAACCTGACTCACATATGTGTCTACAAGGTAAATCGACACCCACAAATTATATAAAATCAGCTGTGTTATGAACTTAAAAATAAAAAAGTAAATTTCTATAATCAGCAGTTAGTAGTTGTCACCTTTATTGTTTTGATGCCTCGGGTGAGGATGCTATCCGTGCAGTTCTTTATCTTAATACCTGTACTGGGCATTTGGATTAGTAAGGCGCATTTCGATCGTTCTTAAGCAAATGTGTGTTGCATGTACATGTACAGGTGTGTAGTACATGTATACCGTACTATGTCAGTAAAACGTATGATTGGGACTTCTTACCACTAAAACCTTTGGGCATGGCGTGTAAACTAATATTCAATGAATGATTTCTTAAAGTTTGTTGCTTAAAGGTAAAGGAAATTTTATATGCCATATCTGCCATACATCTTATTGCTACCGGTATATAGACATGCATGCTGCTTCTCCTTTTCATTTTAACGTTGAATGCATGACTAGGCTTAATCTAAATTAAAAGAGTTAAAAACATATTTGAGTTCAACAGGCCTGAGTTAGAAGATCGATTGTAGGCTAGAAAAATCACTTTGAATGCATGATATCAAGTTACAGATACGCATATACTGTACTACCGACCCCGTTTACTGTAAAGCCACATAAATATTACTATAAAATGTTAAATCTGCATGCTATAGATTGTATCGATTTTTGACCTTTCTTAACAACACCATTTTGTCAAATCTAATTAATTTAAAAAGTTTGGTTTGTCTGAAATAACCTGATTTGTCAGCAACAAAATTCCAAAGTGTGACAGGTATATCTGTTGTTACTTACAATGCAATATTTATGTGAGATAAATAATGGTATTTTCTAGATTTTGAAGACGATGCTGGGCTATTGTTATCCACCCTGTTGATCAGCTCTGTCGTCGTCTACAACACCCTGGGAGTCCCATCGAAAAAGGATCTGAACAAACTGAAGTAAGTTCTTGTTTTGCAATATAAATTTACCAATAAACTGACAGGGCCGCGTTCTTGTGGAAGATGAGAGGATATTACTGCCTGCGAATTTACATGTGTTGAGATTTACTTGTATTATATTGTTAGAGATGTAATTTTCTACGCCTTTATTGGTAGTGGGGGTATTATTTTTTACTCGTAAACACACTTCGTCACAGCTTGGGCAAGTGCAAATAGGTAAAGTAAGTGTTATAATTAAGGTTACATACTAATATCTGTGCGCTGTTATAGACAAAATCGGTCTAAAAACGAAAAGCGGCATTGTTTGGCCAAATCTCGAACAATCGATTTTCTTTACTGCCTTCTTTCTTGTTGTGAATAGGATCATGAAAGTTTGTGGTACACTGGGATGGAGAAGACATAAATGCCATATAGAGCACATTTTCACACGAGTCAAAATAAAATTCACCTTTTGTCGTCGGTTACATTACGCTTTATGCCTTTTCTCTGTAAACACCGCAATGTTCTATGACTTGTACTCAATGTGAAGAATTCTTAGTCACGAAAGTAATCTTGGTAAAATGTTAAATAAGTATAAATGTGAAAAACATCAAATGAATATACTAATCTCCTACTTGCTTTTTAGCGCTGATAGGTGCGTGTCAATAACCACTGCTACGTTCATGTATTGGAGAAATTGAAGGGACTTTTCGACTACATACATGTATTTATACATATATTTATACACTCACGTCTATTTTTCTTATTTTCCAGATTTCTCACAACGCTTGCAAAGAATCTCAGCATACAAGAGGGACAGGTCGTTACTGATTTGAAAGAGTTCCGTTCTCACATGCCTGATTTCATTTGGCTGTGCCGCGACGTCGACAAAAAGTTGATTTTACCGTCAACAAAGGAAGAGTTATCAGCAAGCGATTACTTCTTAAGAGTGGTGAGTAGTTCGATCTGGTGTAAGGAGTAACTAGATTCGCATATGTTTTCCCTTGTATGGGTCTTCGTTAACGAATGTGTGCCACTGTATATACACGTGTTCGTGTGCGTGGGGGTATGTATGTGAGTATTGTGTGTGTGTGTGAGTTTTAAACATGTATATACGTTATATATCTATATTGATGTATGTAATTCCATTCTGTTTTGTGCTTTTTCAGTTGTTTTTAGTTTTAAAGTGCGATAAATAGAGAGACTAAGACAGTTTCGGACCGTCTGATTCCAAGTTAAAGTCGCATAACCTTGTATCCCCCACCCCCCATACAAAAAACTGCTTGAGATTAAAAAAAATACCGGATTGAAGACACATAAGTAGCTTTCAAATTATTGATCGTGAATCGTCTTAGGTGTGTGGCCGAGACACGGCGGAGGACGAGTTGACCGAAGAAGATAGGACGGCAGAGGCCCTGGTCTCGGCGTTCTGCTCTGTGGATGCTTTCTGCCTTCCCTGCCCAGGACCAGAAGACGTGGTGGAGGATATCGCGAAACATGCCGACAAAATCAGTCCCAAGTTTACCAAAGAACTGGATAAATTCCTAGATGTCATGGCACAGAAAATTCGACCTATATATGGATATGCGGATGGGTCTGCCCTTTCTGGTGAGACACTGCACTATTCGCTATATTACCTCCAATATTTCATCGTCTGGTCTGCAAACTGTTCCAGACCGGTTCAGTTGCTCCTCATTGCTTTCGGTCAGCAGTTTAAAGTGCATTTTTATAACAGCGAAAACTTACATGACTGAATCAACAAAACACATACATTTGGGTTTATTTTGATTTTATTCCAGGCCGACATCTCATAGAACTGTTTAGCGTCTATTTGGACAGTGTTAACCACCCGAAAAATGTCCCCAGTCTGTCATCCGCCTGGTCACTTACCATGATTATGATGAAACTGAAGATAGTGGATAACATCGTAGCCTTCTACAATGAAAAAATGCAGGTAAATACTATTTAAAAAACACTATAAATGTAAGATGGCTTGGTAATTGGAATATGGATTGGCTGACCTATCGTATGTCTATAGCACTAAGAGAAATGCACGCAGCTTGGAGTACCAGGGAATCCACAATTTTTTTACTTTTCTAGTTGAAGTGTGATATGCTAAAAATGAAGAAAAATATTTCAAGTTTAATTTGGGGACATTGGAAATCTGCTTGATTTTTTATATTGACTTTTCTTTTGTGTTGAAGTAGTTAGTAAATAACTATATACTAGCGTGTGTTATTTTGAATCTAGACACTGTATGAGGCGGCAAGCAAGAAGAAAGGGAAAGAATCTCCCCTAGAAGAGTTCTCTGATGAAGATAAAAAACGGTAATGCCTACTCTGCCATTCTCAAACCATTTAAACATCTCAAAATTACAATGTTAATATTCCATAATAATGTATGGCACGGTTTGCACAAAAAAAA